ACATTATTTGATATTTTTCCTTTAATACCAGTCATTGTTTGGTATTTTATTGTTTAATACTGAACATTATTTGATATTTTTTTCCCTTTAATACCAGTCATTGTTTGGTATTTTATTGTTTAATACTGAACATTATTTGACATTTTTTTCCCTTTAATACCAGTCATTGTTTGGTATTTTATTGTTTAATACTGAACATTATTTGATATTTTTCCTTTAATGCCAGTCATTGTTTGGTATTTTATTGTTTAAAAATCTTTACACGTGTAGTTTCTGACGATAATCGTTCTGACATCTTTACAATTACGTTACTGCAGACGATCGCTCCGAAATCTTTGTACTTTTTTCCTTTTTTTACTGCCGACAACAATCTTACAATATTTTTAAATATATTTTTCAATAATGATGACCGCTTTGGGTAGAATGCACCAAACTCCAAAACCAAAGATTTAATAAATAAAGTCCAAAAATTTTAAATTAATTATGCGTTTAAAGATGATAGTATCATTTGAATGGCTGCGATATCTCGAAAATTAAAAGCAAACAATTGAAACGAGCTTTTCAATTTAAAGCCTTTAAAATAAAACAATATCATTAACACATTATTCATTGAAACCAGAAATGTATTGTATTTCTTTGAGCACATTTTTAATTCAAATCCTACTGGAAGGTTTTACATCCACCAGTCACCTTTAAACTCACACAAAAAGAAAGATAAAAATATGTACGCAATTAAGGCATTAAGTTTAGTAAAACATGTTGCACATACTGCAGTAAATAAGTGCTTAATAATAGGCCTAAATTTTCTCTATGATTAAAATAAAGTGGCTTCAGGGTAATTAAGATGCGTTCACCTTGTTACATTCTTCCTCAAGTTGATTCATTCTTTGCCATGCTCTACCAGCGTAGAGTAGCGAATCACTGAACCTTTGGAGAGTGGTCTTAGTGCGCAACGAAACTGCGCAGTTTTACTGTAAATAAAACCGGGCTACGGAACTAATTTTTGTTACCGAAACAGCTGTTTGGTGGAGGAAGAACTATTAAAAAATTGTTATAAATATCATTATAAAACTTGTTCTAAAAAGTTGAAATATTTTTTAAAAAGAGTCTTCTAATTGAATGTTTTAAAATCCAAAACAAGATATCGGTTCATGTAAAGTACAGAGTTATTATACCTGATAACATCAGCGTATGATTATCAGCCACAAATGAAAAATCTTGAGGTCATAGGTTTCTACAAAAAAGGAAATAAAACAACAACAACTCATTTACAATCACTTAGATATGGTAATAGCTTGAAGTAGAATATCAATATTGACCTTTCTGGTTACTGGATTTAATTTGTTTAAACATCATAAATTAATATTTTATAATTTCATGTTAAATATCGTAACATAATAATGAATTTGGAAGTAATTACCTACTTTCTTTAAATTTCAGTTTAAACCTATTAAAGTACTTGTGTCAAATTAGTCTTGATTGGTTGTTTCTCCTGTATTTCATGTGTCAAGTTAGTCTTGATTGGTTGTTTCTGCTGTATTTCATGTGTCAAGTTAGTCTTGATTGGTTGTTTCTGCTGTATTTCATGTGTCAAGTTAGTCTTGATTGGTTGTTTCTGCTGTACTTCATGTATTAAGTTAGTCTTGATTGGCTGTGTCTGCTCTACCTCTTGTGTCAAGTTAGTTTTGATTGTTTGGGCTTAGGCGTTATGAACAATACAAGATCAAGCGTTTAAAAGTACTCATTGCCAAGATGGGGGTCTGATATAACTAAGGGACTTAATTCCAAGTTATAATAATTAGCATATTTCCACCTTGTTACCTGTCTTACTTAATTCCAAGTTATAATAATTAGTATATTTCCACCTTATTACCTGTCTTACTTAATTCCAAGTATAATAATTAGTATATTTCCACCTTGTTACCTGTCTTACTTAATTCCAAGTTATAATAATTAGTATATTTCCACCTTATTACCTGTCTTATTTAATTCCAATATATAATAATTAGTATATTTCCACCTTGTTACCTGTCTTACTTAATTCCAAGCTATAATAATTAGTATATTTCCACCTTGTTACCTGTCTTACTTAATTCCAATATATAATAATTAGTATATTTCCACCTTATTACCTGTCTTACTTAATTCCAAGCTATAATAATTAGTATATTTCCACCTTGTTACCTGTCTTACTTAATTCCAAGCTATAATAATTAGTATATTTCCACCTTGTTACCTGTCTTACTTAATTCCAATATATAATAATTAGTATATTTCCACCTTGTGGGTGGTATAGCTAGCTACATTCCGCTTAGATAATTCTCTTGTAACTCTGCTCAAATATTCGAAACTATCAAACAGTTGATCATAATTGATATACTTGTTTCAGTGCATTATATTTTGTTCATATAGTGTTAATAAAAAATGTCCTTACGGTATATAAGTGAAACTTCATAAGTAACTGAACTGTTGATGGAACGTTAGGTGGTTGATCACCTTCGTTAGGCTTATATTAAACAACAAAATACCAAAACAATGACTGGTATTAAAGGAAAAATATCAAATAATGTTCAATATGTCTACAACGAATGAGTTAATTTACCGATTGAAGTGTCTACAAT